TTGTCCCAACCCCCTATCCCATTTCAACCACCTACCTTTGCTCCCAACCACCTAGCCGATCTCAACAACCTAAAGGTTGAGCCCTAATGTGAGTTCGTGTCATGTTTGTTATAATTTTCTTTTTAAGTGTGTGTGATTGTAACCGCCTATTTGATTTTATGTAATAATATATGGTCCCATTTAAACCACCTACCTTCGCTCCCCAACACATAGCTGTTCTTCACCACCTATAGTCTGAACCCTAACATGAGTTCGTGTCATGTTTGTTGTAATTTCCTTTTTAAGTGGGTGTTATTTTAACCGCCTATTTTCTTTGGTTGTAATAATGTATGCTTTTCTGTTGAGAATTGGACCTTATTTGTAAATTGTTTTAATACCCGATTTAAGCCCTTGTTATGATTGAACAAAATATGTTTTTGAACATTCTTTCTTTTTGGTAATAGAGCCCTAACCCTAGTAGGCGCTCGATGAATTGGAATTGTCTTACGGAGACCCCACAACTCGAGCTCGTTGGAGATGCCATCTACTGAATTTAGTGCTCGGATGTGAGGAAATCGCATAGGGAGCTAACTAGGACACGAACGATGGGATCGACTAGAGGCGTGAACCCTCTCGAACGTGATACATTCGTGATTAGAGCTAACTGGGAAGGCAACAACGGGATTGCTGCATGGACCCCATGATACAATCATGATTATATCTAATCAGGGAGGACACATTGTGATGACAGACTTGATAGGGTGGCCATGACGCAATACGTACATACGCAAAGTATCAAATTTGCATGTGATATGTGTGATCTAGAATTAGATCCTTATGATTGAAGATGTTAGAAAACTGAGATAATGCAAGAGGTAAAATATTGGAGCCTCTAAGAAAGATAGATCCTAATGTTTTGAAGGTTTTTGTCGGGGTCATCCAAGGAGCTAGCGTCTCGTACCTCAGCACTTGCTCCGATGCATGTGAAACTAGATCTCCATTTCATGGATCTGGAAATTGATAGACCGACCACACTTCTGAGTTGGTCACGTCAGAACGAGGCTTAGGGAAGAAACTAGAGGGATATCTAATGGGGTTAAGCTAAAAAGGGATATGTGGAGAATCACGCTCGCCTTAATCTATACTAGGCTACTCAACTTAATGGTTTCATCAATTATATTCTCAGTAAATGGCATTTTAAAGGCGAGGGACATCAAGGCAAAGTTGAAGAGGATTTATGATGCGATTGAGAATCATATAAGGTTGTTCCAGATTCAGCGGTAGATAGAAGCAGTTGTATAGGGTGATAGATTGATTTAGAAATATGCCATAGATCTGGAGCCATTGTGGGCAAATCTTGATCACTTCTCATCGATGCTAAGCTGTGGCGATTAAAAGTGAAACAATGTAGAGATCTTTATATAGATGATGACTATGCAGTTTCTTGCCTATCTGAACTCAACTTTTGATTGGAAGAGATCAATCCTCTTAGCTCAAGTGACCATCCTTTCACTGGATGAGATCATTGCTGCTATGATATAGGAGAGACGCGTGAAGCTATACTCTGACTTTAATTATATTTTCTGGCGCGCAAATCTGCTTTGGCTGCCTCGAGCTCAGGTATGACAGTTGTTTAAAGAGAGACTCAAAAGTGCTACAATTGTGGTGAAGTTGGGAATTTGAGCAAGACCAATCCTAAGCCACCTAAGGAGAGAGATAGGTGAATGTGGATATGTGGAGCCCATGATCGTGACTTTGGTGGTCAGAAAGGAGGAAAAGGAGGCTACCTGGCAAATCTGATGGTAGCTGGGGAGGGAGAGACGGGATTGGCTTTTAATAATGAGAATCATGAGTATCTGGAGTTGTTTAAAAGGAAATAGAAAGCATCAGAAGATGAGGCTGAGGATGTTTCTAATCAGTCGTCATCAACGGATAACATTGTCACTTTGCTCATTCTAATAAAAGTATTTGTGATACACATGCTCTCGCCTCTATTTCCACCATAGAATCATCACAATGGATAGTAAATTCTAAATCTTTTCAACACGTGACAAGTACTGTTAGAGACTTCTTCTTAGGCCCCCAACCAGAGCTAGAGAGCATTTAGACTACTGATGGTACAACACAACTTGTTGTTGGTAAGGGCATAGTGAGGGGTACCAATTATATGATTTTATTCAATATTTTGGTAAGCACATAGTGAGGGGTACCAATTATATGACTTTATTCAATATTTTACATATTTTTTTGTTTCAGTGAATCTCTTATTCATTATTGTCATTATTCTCCAACTAAAATGTGTTGTATCTTTTTGTATTTCTAAGGTGATCTTCCAAGGAAGAGACGAGCTAGACACTTACTACTGAAATGTGGCATAGGACTCTGATACTTGGACCGAGGGAACGGACTCAACTTTGACATCCATGATAGCGAGTTCTGGAGTAGGAGAATCTAGGAGTGTAGAGGATGTGTTGTTGCTACACCACAGACGCATGAGACACTCTTTTTTAGCTTATTAAGTCAATTTTTTACTTCATTGTATGAAAAGATAAATAAAGAAAAATTTTTTTGTGATGCTTGTGAGTTTGATAAGCTTACTAACTCTTATATTACTTTTGGGAATACGAGTTCTAATATTTTTTACTTGATATAATCTAATGTTTGGGGATTTTTTTCTATAAGTTCTATGAATAATTATCGATATTTTGTGACCTTTATCGATTGCTTTTTTCATGTCAGTTATATTTGATGAAAAATAAAGGTGATGTGTTTGCTTGTTTTAAAGACTTTTACAAAGCAATTTATACTTAATATGATACAATAGTAAAGGTATTGGGCTTTGACAATGAAACATAGTATACCAACAAAATATTTGATGAATATTTGTCAGCCAACATGTCCAAACACACTCGCCCCAAATAGAGTAGCAGAGAGGCAGAATAGACACCTTCTAGAGGTAGCTCAAAGAATGATGATCCTAATGAATATCTCAAAGCATTTATGGGGGCAGGTAGTTTGGTCAGCTGCTCAATTGATCAATAGGATTCCCTCTAGGTTGTTGGATTGGAAGTCTCCTTGTCAGATGTTGAAAGAAGATAATTGCGGGGTCCTTCTATTGAAGGTGCTTAGATGTTTTGTGAGGGAAGATGGATCCCAGAGCTATGAAATGTGTGTTCGTAGGTTATTCAACTATCCGAAATGGGTATGTCTACTGGAGTCCGATAGAGAAGAGACTGTGTGGGCATGAATGTATCATTTAGAAAATTTAAACAGTACTACACCCGGGAGGAGACCTTACCCTTCTGTGACTCACGAGATACTGGAGATATGAGCCAAGTCGGTGTGAGTTTCAATTTTGAGAGAGTAGTACATGTGATAGCGATGCCTTGTCCTGTTATGTAAGATGAACCAGTTGAGGAACCAAAAAATGAGGAGAGCGAACCTTGAGGTGATGGGATTCGGGTTGAAGGTGAGCTAAGGGTATATACATGGAGAATGAAACAAAATGAGGGAAAATTGCCTATAGTGCCACTTATGCCAGCAAGCCCCCCACCCTCGCCAACTCTTGAGACAGTAATATCATTCACCTCCTACTTAGAATCCCCAAGTGATATGATTCCTCCTAACCCCACAACTTTAAAAAGGATCTCTTGCAGCAATGCGGAATATTCTCCCGGTCGTTTTTGGTGGGAACATGACATTGCTAACTTTGTTTCATATTCTAACATATCACATTTACATGGAGCATTCATTACATCATTGAACACTCTCTATACCTAAGTGTTGGCAGGTTGCTAAAGAGTATTCCAAGTGGAAAGCGAATATACATGAGTTTAGATCTCTCGATAAAAATCAAACATGATAAAAATCAAACATGTGAGATAATGCCACTACCAGAGGAGTTGTATTTGTAAAATGTTGTAATACCCTATTTAAGCCCATGTTTTGAATGAATTGATTAGTTTTTTGAGCAATTTTTTCTTTTTCTTCCTATTGTGATTTGGCTTAACTCTGGTATCGCTTAATTTCTCAAATCTGAAATTCAGGGGGAGAACTTGACTGAATATCAAATTTGGGACTTTCTTCAAGACACTCAAATTGAATCATATCATTTCACTCAAACAACTAGACCTAATTTTTCCACTCAACTAGCTTCACAAGATTGAGGCTGCCCTTTAGCAGATGTAATTAGTTAATTTACAAACTAAATAATTAAGGTTTCTGCTCATACAATTCAGTTATTTATTTCAATTACATAGCGTTTAAGTCCAACTCAATTTGAAACAAAATTTATCATCCACATGGATTTGCGCTCTTTTGATTGTCGGGAAGCTTCATATCCAGTTGTCCATAATTTCTACTTCATTTTATGAGTATAATAAGATCAATCAACATTTTGAAGCAATTATAGTTCTTCAGTTGTGTAGCAATTTCAGCACATTGTGCGGAAAATTCCAATTGCTGTTATTTTTTCATTCAGTTTGGATGCTCTTGACTTCTAAGTGGATATGATAGCACTCGTTCATTGTTTGTATTGTTAGAAAAACCTTCGTTTTCAGCATTCATTCTAAGGATTGAATATGGGACTGCATTAATGTTATCTGATATAGATTGTAGAACAGGTTATTGCATAGAGCACCGGCTAGTTTTATCCTTATAGCCGTGAATGTTGGACCATTACATGCATCTATTCTTTCTAGATTTATTTGCTGCAAATAGCTCAAAAGTTTAAACAAAACCTCTCATTTCAAATGCAACCAATTTGTTGCATTTACTTTTCAGGGGCTTTGAGAAGTAAATGAATTAAAATTTGGGTTGATGTAGAGTATATTACAGCAGTTTTGCTGCAAATTAAGAACAAAATGCAATATTCCCTA